GAGCAAGCTTCTGTCACGGGCCAGACTGTAGGACCTCGCTGTCACTGCGGTCTCGGCTGCAAATCATCAACCACGTGGAAGCACAAAAGCAGCCGTGGACAGTATATAAAAAAATTAGTGTAGCTGTGATCCAATAAAACTTTAGAAAAGCAGGTCATGGACCATATTTGGCCCATGGACCCTGGGCGGGATAAAATCTTCTAACAACCAGTGCTACCTCACACAAGGACAGGCTTCTGGGGCCAGGAGATCCTGTTAGGGACAAACATGGACTCCAGGGCTGGACAAGCCCATCAGCACGGAGCGTTCAGCCTCCTGTGAGTTGGACTCTGCCCTATGTGATAAAAGTTTTCTACAGTTTCAATGAAACCCTCCACATGGAATAACGTCATGCAAAGCAGAGAAACAGCTGAAATCCCAGGTTTGGGCCCTCCAGGCACCTGTGTACTTGAGAGTCGAGGTTCCCTGTGTTCTTTTCATCCCGAAATGATCATTCAGTATCATGAATGATAACAGTTTTCACCAACTTCCTTGCAGACTTCTTTTGATGTAATTTTGAAAAAAGCTTAATGACTTTGGGGTTCTTTGAAAGAAGTACCTCAAATTCCTTCTGGCCTCCAAGTCAGGGTGTGCCCAGTGCGTGTCCGAAGAGCCATCTGTGGTGGCCCTCACATGGCCACCCACTGAGGTGGGCCACTGAAGCACTGCTACGCCACATACCCCCTGCCTGGAGGCCCCAGTGGCCCCGTGCTCCATGAACTCACAATGCTGTGTACACACTTAGCATTCCTAGAAAATACCTCAAAACACCAAGGTGTGAGACACTTCCACATCTTACCTGAAATTTCTGAGAGGACCAAGGAATCACAGAAGCAACAGGGGAGCAGAAACTGGCCTGCTGGACAGTGTTTATTCTAGATAATGAACAGGAAAAAGACTACCTCTCACCATCATCTAGTTAACACACAAGGGATAAATGTTCTCACTGAGCTGACCAAGAGGCCTAAGCAGAAGCTCTTGGAAAGCACACCTTCCTGATGGACTTATTTTCAACCAGCGCGAGATTCCTGACTCTGGGAGGGAGACTGACCCTCGAGGGCTGGGCCAGACCACCGCCTTCCTTAGGAAGCATTCTCTGAGTGTAAGCTGCATACTGCTAACATGGTGTAAAAATGGCACGGCGGGGGCATCTGATCTCTAACTTCACAAGGGGGAAGGAAAATCTAGATCAATAGTCCAAGGCTGATTCCTATCAGGCAGAGGTCAGATATGCCTCCACCTCCAACCTTTTTACCAATTCTGACACCAGCGGTCCCTCCCACTGCACTCTCTCCTCCTCTGCTGAGTTTGATAATTCATTGCAATGGATACACGGAACTCACAGACCATACTCATAGGGTATATTAGGAAAGTAACCAGTTACAATTCAGGTTCAGGATTGCTCAGGATACAGTTCTTTGGTCAGGACTGCTTCTTCTCAGCTGTGCCATAGCCAGGCCTCTCTCTGGCCCTTGGCCTCTTGGCCCCTCAGCTGGCCTCTGCCCTGCTTGGGCAAATGTTACAAAGCTCTTTTAGCTCTGCCAATAAGTTTCTGGAGGCACCCTACTCCACCAGGAAGCCTCCTGACCAAAGGCACTCAGCTCCGTAGGTCGGATACCCACCACGGTGTCTCCTGCTGGTCTCCTAGTTCTGCTGCCTCTTGCCATCTCTGGTGTTACAGCTCTCCCTCTCTGTCCTGGTTCTGCTGTCTCTGTCTTCTGTGTTACAGCTCCTCTCTCTGTCTCCTGGATCTAGGAGGTTCTCAGCACAGGGATCCCAGGTCCAAAGGACACACTCCACTCCTGGCTCTTCTTTCTTGGTGGTGTTGAGATCCTCCCTTCATGCCTCTGGGACGGCTCATTTAAAGCCTAGTGGGATGGTAAAACTGACCAATCCTTGTTAGGCTTCCATACACCTTATTTGCATGGTTCCACCCCCATAAGAGTGCCACGCACCTTATTTACATTATTAACAAGCTATGTAATTCCCTTGGTGGGCCACAAGCACCTCATTTGTACAGTCCCACCCAGTCATTTGGTGGGAATTAAAAAAACTATGGCTAGAAGGACCATATTAAGTAATTCACTGCACCGCAGGCCACCCTCTGACTTTTCTAGCCATTGGCCCTTTCATACTTGAAGGTTAACTTCCCCCTCCCAATCATTTTACCAGTCCAAAACAGTCATTAACAATTAGTCCTTCAGTAGAGCAAAAGAGTCCTAAGTGTGACATTACTCAGGTACCAGTCCTTCAGGTCTGCTGCAGGTGTCCATTGATCTGGTTAGGTTCTCCAAAAGTCATCTTGGCGTTACCCTTTTTGGCTTCTGATAAAATTTAACAGAGAGAAGATTATTTTCTTGCTCTGAGCCTCAGGAGGTATCAGCATAGCAAAACCTTTAAGGTACTTTAGGTTCAGCCACTGTACTCCAGTCTAGTAGTGCCTCCCTCTCAGTCCACTCTTTCACACTTACAGATTTTACAATTACAGTATTTACAATCACAACCCTGTTAACAAATCAACACTTACACTGAATCATATAATTCTATCAACATCTTCCCCCACCCTCTCTTCCTCAGACCCATAAGGAAAAGAGGAAACTATTCACTGGGAATCCTCCCTTGTCCCCTTCATTTTGAGTGCTGACATTTTTGTTGAAAAGCAAAGATGCCACTTTGAGGACTAAGATATGCCTGATCCAAGCCATGGCATTTTCAATCGCCTCATATGCATATGAAAGCTGGACAATGAATAAGGAAGACCAAAGAAGAACTGGTGCCTTCAAATTGTGGTGCTGATGAAGAATACTGAATATACCATGGACTGCCAGAAGAACGAACAAATCTGTCTTGGAAGAAGTACAGCCAGAAAGCTCCTTAGAAGCAAGGATGGTGAAACTTTGTCTCACATACTTTGGACATGTTATCAGGAGGGACCAATACCTGGAGGAGGACATCATGCTTGGTAAAGTAGAGGGTCAGTGAAAAAGAAGAAGACCCTCAACAAGGTGGACTGACACCGTGGCTGTAACAATGGGCTCAAGCATAACAACAATTGTGAAAATGGCACAAGACCGGGCAGAGTTTCATTCTGTTGTACACAGGGTCAATATGTGTCAGAATTGACTCGACACCTAACATCACCACTACCACCCATGAAAGCACGTAAGCCAGCCAATTCATGGCTTTATCTCCCCCTATTTTAGACAGCCAATATTTAAATCACCCATGCCTACCAGAACAGTACTCTGACGAGACAAACATGTTCCTTGGTTTGAAGAATCCTCTGTTCTAGTTGGAACTTTGAGCATCTGTATCCATAACCAAGTTCAGTCCAGAGCAAGCCATCAAATTGCAGCAATCTATACCAGCTCACTCTGTCAAACATCTTTCTCTTCATTCAGTCAGGTTCTGGTCAGCTCATCCCTAGCCATCCAAGCTAGGTCAATGGGTACCAGCTGTAGGCTTGGGAGTCCACACACCTCACGGCACTTCAGATCAGCCAGCCCCTTCTCTCTCTCTCATTATTAACCTCTATGGGCTAGGTCAACGGGGGCCAATGGAACATGTCCAAACTCAGCCTGTTTCTTCATTGCTGCATGTCCACCACTTCCACTCATTGAGTGGTCCCAAGTGGTCACCACAAGCAAGCATACCAGGCTGTCTACTTGCTGGCTCCCTTTAACTTCCAGTCCTGAAACGGTGTTCTGCTAGGCACTGACTTCCTACCTCAGTGATCCAAAGGCAAACTGTTTGCTCAAAATTCAAAAAGGAAAACAGTCATTTTTTTTTTTTTTTCCCTCTGAAGGGAATGCAAATCTCCAGTCCTCTCAGCAGTGCTGGGTAGGTCTGCATGTCCTTTCAAATGCAAATTTCCTAGGTGGTGTTCAGGTTTTCCACCTAAGCCCCCAATATACACAATGCTACTGGCTTGAAATAAAAACCCTGTGTTTCTTTCCAGCAAACCCTAATTCCCCTTTTAGTATATCAAATCACATATTGGCTGAAGGCAAAGTTACATGCTCTCTGTTATCTGTAATACCCAATATTAATTTCTATCAGATATTTAGGTCTACTTTACAACACTTCCTCCTGGGCCTGTGCTGAGTCCTCTGGAATCCCCTCCACCACCACCCCCGCCCCTCCCCCCAATTCCCAGCAAAAGGCTAACCCAGGGGCCTCCCATCCCAATTCAGCCCTCATGAGGGGAGTCAGGTCTCCTCACGTCCCACACACCTCAGCACTTCCTCCTTGATTCAAACCACCTCCCCTCCTTCAAGCCCCACCTGAGCCCTGGGCCACCTGCCAGCTCTTGGCCCCTCTCAGCTTTCTCAAAGTAGCTCCTCTCCTTTTCCAGCTTCTCTCACCCTGGCCAACCTCAACAGCCTGGAGTATCTCAGCACTGGCCCTCCCTCTCCCCTCTCCCCTCTGTCCTTGGCTGACTTTCCCAGCCCCTTGTCCAGTCTTGAGGAGGAAGTGGCCTTCCTAACATGCAGCTGACGTGTGGCTTCCCTCCCTTCTTGGAGTGCAGTTGACCAGCGTTGCCTGGTCCCTGAGAGCCCGTCAGCTATGAAGCCACAGTGGCAAGTCTCAGAGACACTTGCCAACAAGCAAACCAACCACTGCACTTCCTTGGAAAAGAACCAATACATAAATTGTTTCTTTGGTATCTAATGTTTTTTTCATTCAGAATCTTTTTCACCACTAGTATTTTTAACCAGGGAAAGACCAGGAAAAATTACAAAAAAACCACCCATTTGTGCAAATATCATGACCAAGATTGAGGTATGGACACACTTAATCAGAAGGCCCTAGACTCTTAGAACACAGCTAGCTTAGATCCCAGACAGCACCACACATGGAAGTCACATCATGGCTGAACACTCATCTACTAACAAGGTGCCACCATGACAAACACTCCCAGTGGTGTCGGTGTTTCCTTAACGTCTGATGCAGCCACTTGCCTTGGAGATGAGCTCATCGTGGTTGGCCAGGTGGGCCCTGCAGTGGATACAGCTGTATGTGCGATGGCAGTTTGGCAGATAAGCTTGGAAGGTTTTGGATTTTGTCATCTTTACCATCTCTGCTGGGCACTCCTCACTCAGGTCAGGGCCGGCACTGGAAGAATCGCAACTCTCCTGGGCTCTCTGACAGAAGAAACACTGGAAGATGCAGGCAAGAGCCGTTGTTGTTCAGGAGCACGTGTGGCACTTTCCACACAGCTGGGATGAGAGAAAATGTCACAACCTGTCAGCGAATAAAAACAAAGCCATGGGTTACAGAGAGACAAATACATCAAAGGATGTGTGTTTAGGATTCATGGTTTTTTGTTTTTATTCTTCGAGAACTGATATTTTTCTGGTTGTTTTGAGGATCAGTACACAGACATTATCAACAATTTGTACACAATTCTTAATCTTTATACCAAAAATCTAAAAAGCCATGTAGTTATAATTCGTCTCTAAATTCCAGTGACTTTCCAAATTTTAAAATTTGGAGGCAAATAGTCCTTAGGGGCTATCAAGTACCAATATCTTCAGATGTTGATAAGCTGTTACATCTTAAGTTCCACTAATTCACAGTTCAATCTCACACATACGACACACTCAAATTTCCCATCTTTCATAGTACATAACAAGGTTATTAGGAAAACCGGACCACCACATCCAAAGATGTTATAGAGTGCACACACTTCTGACGGGAGGAGCCAGGATGAGGGAGCAGTTTTCTTTAAGAAACAATTCTAATAAAAAATAACATGGAAATAGAAGTAATTTAAAATGTTCAAGACATATAAATGCACGACTGTGACTCCAAATTGCCATGGAGTATGTTTTGTATTATGGGATACAAAACTGTCCCCCTTCCACCTATGGAATGTCAGGTTGATACCCAAAACTGTCAAAGCTTCCACAATTCAACATTGCACAATTTTTTGGTTGTACTAAAAAAATAAAAAAGCAAATGATTTCACCTCTTAAAAAAAAGCATCTACACTTAAAAAATGGGATGAGGTATAGTCAGGAATAGGAGGAGGATATGGAATGTGTGGGTAATTGCCTCCTTCAACAATTGTCTCCTTTGCCATGAGAGCAGAAGGACTGGATGGTGCCTGGCTATCATTACTGAACATTTTGATCAAAGATTCTATAGAAGCATCCTGATCAAAAGGGGGAAAATGCAGAACAGAATATAAAATTCTCATGGACTCTAGACTTTCTGAATCCATGGACAGTGAACGAATCCCTGAAACTACTGCCTGGAGATAATCTTTAAACCTTAAACCAAAAATATCCCCTGAAGTCTTCTTAAAACCAAACAATAGTTTAGCTTAACTAGTAAAAAACATCTGCCTTGAGCACCATGTTCTTTTAAGAGCTATTTATATGGGATCAAATTGACAAGCGCCACTAGAAAGATTAGACAGGAACCTTAGTCGGCAGTGAGTTTATGTTAATGAGGGAGGAACAACTCAGAAAAGGAGGGTGAGAATGGTTGTGCAACTCAAAGAATGTAGTCAGTGTCACTAAATTATACATGTAGGAACTGTTGAATTGGTGTAGGTTTTGTTGATATTCTCAACAACAACAAAATAAATAAAATTTCGAAGAAAACAAATGGATGAAGTGTGATTCCCTCCTTCTTAAAAACGTGTTTACAGCTACTAAAAAACTTGCATTTACAAAACAGTTGATTAAAAACGTTCCTCTGGACTGTATAAGGAGGAAGATGCTGGGACCACTGATAAAATGTACTAGATGACATTAATCAGACTTCTTTCTCTCCTGCTTCATCAGAGGCCGGACTCTCCTGTCTTTAGTTTCTCCATTTACTGCAGGTAAATCTTCTTTGGTGTTTGGTTAGCCACTTCAACCTGTTCCCTTTGCTCGTCTTTTCCCTTTTTCTTGCACTTTTTTGTCTGAAGATTCATCCTTCTTGCTGCCTTTTTTAGCTTTGTTTCCATTTTTACAGGAGCAAGTTTAGCTGACAACTCACTGATCTCCTCTTGGGTTCCCTCTTCACCACCCCTTGGCTGAGCTGACCTTCCTCTTGGCCATCTTGGCGGCGAGGGGGGCATGGCCGGCAGGAAGAGCCTTAGTGAAGCTTGGCTGCCTGGCCGCTGCCGCTCTGCCTGCCAAGTGGGTGTTAGCATATCTAAGGTATGGCAGGTATGGCACCTGCCCCGGTGCCATGTGAAGCGGGGACACTGAGCAGTCTCTATTAACCCAGTATGCCCAATGCCACATATGCTTATGTGGTCTGGCGTGCCCTCAGGGGGATGCCCAGTCTTACTCAGCAGTGAGCCTGCCTTGCAGGCCCCCACCTGCAGGAACAGTGCCCCTGCCGCTGGGAGAAGTGGGTGCCTGATCCAGCTCTCGAGTGCCCAAGATCATCAGGCATAGGGGGCCAGGCAAGGCTGGGGCGCTGGGTCCCTGAGACTACTCCCCTGCTGCCCAGGTAGTACCTAGAGCCTCCCTGCGATGACCTGCACAGGGCTGTGGGCTGCGCTCGGTGGGGACCCGCTGAGCGCACATTTGTCAGATGTTTGGACAGGGGCACAATTTTCCATAGACACACTTCTGGTGGGAGAACCTAGGATTCATGGGTTTTGAAGACTGGGGACAGGGGACAGGGTTAGAAGTTAAAGATCTAATTATTTAATGTTAATTTTGTATAAATAAATTATTTACAAATGGGAATCCTCCTGCATTGCTGGTGGGAATGCAAAAATGGTGCAGCTGCTGTGGCAAACAATTTGGCGGTTCTTCAACAAGTTAAACACAGAACTACCATATAACCCAGAAATTCCATTCCTGAGTATATATCCAAGAGACTTGAAAGCAGGGATTCAGATACTCATACATGAGTGTTCATTGCAGCACTGTTCACAATAGCCAAAGGGTAAAAACAACTCAGTGTCCATCAGCAGGTGAATGGATAAACAAAATATGGCCTACATATACAACAGACTATTATTCAGCCATAATACTATAACGTGGTACATCATGGATGCTATAGCACAGATGAACCTTGGAAACATTATCCTGGGTGAAAGAAAAAAAAAAAACCATTGCCATTGAGTTGATTCTGACTCATAGCAATCCTATAGGACAGAGAGGAACTGCTCCATAGGGTTTCCAAGGAGTGGCTGGTGGATTCAAACTGTGGACCTTTTTGGTTAGCAGCTGAATGCTTAACCATTGTGCCACCAGGGCTCCAGGGTGAAAGAAGCCTGACATAAGAGAACACATACTGTATGATTCTATTTACATGAAATATTTAGAACAGGTAAATTCATAGAGACAGAAAGTAGATTAGACTTTACTAGGGGTTAGGAGAGGGGAGGATGGGTGCAGAATTTCTGTTTGGCATGATAAAGAAGTCTTGGAATAGTGGTAAAGGTTGTACAACATGGAGAATGTAATCAATGCCATGGAACTGTACACTTAAAAATGATTACAATGGCAAATTTCATGTTATCTATATTTTAGCACAATAAAAAATTTTGAAAATTACTTTTTAAAAAAGAATTTTTACCTCATCATTGTTTAACACTCTGAATGTAGTTGGAAGCAGCATATGGACTACTTTACAAATAATTTGAGGAAAACATTTGCTCAAATGCATCTGACACACGCGTGGCTTCAGGAACTGAAAGGAGACGCAGCCACCCGAGACCAGCTCAAGCACCATGACATTTACAAAGACAAGTGATAGATTCTGCATGGAGCAATCTCTAAGAAATTATCACATCATTAAAAAAAAAAAAAAATTCGGGGACATAAAAGATCCTGGCACTATAATGGAAAACGTCTTTTCCGAGTGATGTCAGCTCCCGCTCAGCCTCCTCCTGACAGACGCTATGCAGGAGAACTGGGCACGGGAGGGTTTTCTTTCAGAGCAAACAGAAAAGACAGGCTTCTCCCCACACTCAAGACGGGGAAAAGAACACACGCTGAGCGCTCCCAGGCCTGCTCTGCCTGCATGCCCCCTTCAACACTGCCCCCATTCTCAGTTTAACAGATGCGCAGCTTCTTTCAATCTTCGAGAGCTCCAGGTTTTCATTTCCAACTGCATGTGAGACATCTCCAACTCGGTGACACGCCAGTAAACCAATCAGCACATCCCAAATGCCCCCCCTCATCACCTCCAAGGACACCACCGCACCTGCCACCCAGGAAGACAGACGTGGACTCTTCGCGTGCTTATGGGGTTGACTGGTGCTCCTGACCCTGCTTCAGGATGGGTGTCGAGCCTGTAAGTCAGAACCACCCCTGGACACCGACCTGTGCCAGCCAGCAGCCCCCTTCCACTCCCACGTCTTTGCCCGTGCCCAGCCCTTCCCAAGGACACCAAGAAACCTTGTCTTCCTGGCTCCGCCATAGCCTCACCAGGCCCCTTCCACCTGTCAAGGCAGGCCGTACATCTCTGAGTACAGGGCATCTTGCAATAGATGGCCAACTTATACAATTGTCAACTAAGTTTTGAATAGGCAGAAAGCAATATTTCTGAACATTTGAAAGGCAGACAGAGCACAAATGCCCACGTACCCGCTGCCCAGGACGGTGAAGCCCCAGAGCCTGGATCCACCTCCCTGGGTTTTGTTTTCTGTTTCTTTGCTTGTCTTTGTAGTTGACCATGTGTGCAGAATGCTGGACCACGCTGCTGTGTTCTCCTGTTTTCTGGACTTCCTGGGGTCTGGGAGGAGTGCCGTCTCTGCAGCTGTGCTCCTTAAACTGCAGATCCACCGTGTTCCACTGACATTCACCATAATGCACTCACCAACAGTCCACAAGCACGGTAGCTCTAACACTGTGTCTCCTGGGCCCACGCACGAGCTCTGCTGGTGTGGCTCTGGGACTGAACTGCCTGACCTGGAGGCGAGGGTGGGCGCAGTAACGCTCCCACCAGCAGGCGTGAGTCCCCGCCCGTCTGCACCTTGCCGGCTTGGTGGGGCCGAATGTTTCACGTCTGCCCACTGGCAGGTGTGAGCCAGCATGTGGCTCTACCTTGCTTTGTCCTGACTGCTCACTCGGCTGAGCACTTTCCACATGTGTTGGTCATTCATGCTTCCTCTTCTGTGACTCCCCTTTTCAATTTTCTTGCGCCGTTGCCTATTAGGGTGCTGATATTCTCTAACTGATTTGTGGGAATACATGGCATATTCTGAAAGCTAAATCACACATAGTATCCATTACACCTCAACATAAAGAAAACAAAAATCCTCACAACTGGACCCAGTAAACAACATTACGATAACGGAGAAAAGATCGAAGTTGTCAACAATTTCATTTTACTTGGATCCACAATCAATACCCATGGAAGCAGCAGTCAAGAAATAAAACGACATATTGCATTGGCAAATCTGCTGCAAAAGAGCTCTTTAAAGTGTTAAAAAGCAAAGATTTCACTTTAAGGACTAAGGTGAACCTGACTCAAGCCATGGTATTTTCAACTGCCTCATATGCACACGAAAGCTGGACGATGAATAAGGAAGACCAAAGAATTGATGCCTTTGAGTTATGGTGTTGGTGAAGAATGCTGACTATACCATGGGCTGCCAAAAGAATGAACAAATCTGTCTTGGAGGAAGTACAGCCAGAATGCTCCTTAGAAGCAAGGATGGTGAGACATACTTTGGACATGTTATCAGGAGGGACCAGTCACTGGAAAAGGACACCATGCTTGGTAAAGTAGAGGGTCAGAGACAAAAAGGAAGACCCTCAACGAGATGGACTGACATAATGACTGCAACAATGGGCTCAAGCATAACAACGATTGTGAGGATGGCGCAGGACCGGGCACCGGGCAGTGTTTCGTTCTGTTGCACATAGGGTCGCTATGAGTCGGAACTGACTTGACAGCACCTAAAAACAACAACAAGGCACACATAAAGCACATCTGTCGTAATTTAAAATGTTACCTTTAATCTGTATGTGCTGCCTCCTCCAATTAGAACTGATCTGAGAACAAACCTGTGGCTGACGGTCATTTTCCCAAACCTGACAGCAGAGGTCAGGTGTGGGCAGCCCTGAAGGACAGCATGTCCATCTGAATGTGATCAATTCTTTAAAAATGAAGTGTTTTGGCAGCTGTGGGCTGATTCTGGCATGGCTGCAGGATGTGCCCCTGCCCTGAACACCAGCCCTCTCCACGTTCAAGCAGGCCACCGTCAACTATGTTCACAGAAGTACGTGTTGTCCCCTGGTGGCCTTGCTCCTGAGCTTAGTACATCTTACCCTCACCACATGCATGTGCGCACGCGTGTGAACTTCAGGAAACTTGAGCCCACCATTTCTTATTTGTATCATATATAGATGGATATATGGATATATGTCATGTGCATATATTAACATGTATGTGTATACATATTAATGGGTCTCAAGTTCTGCAAAAGAAAAAGTCTAACTGGACTAAAAACAGAAACTATCAATGTGCTGCTTACAAAAAGTAGTTCAAATATAAAGATAAAAAGGTAAATGAAAAAGAGATGGTTTAATATTTAATAAAAATCAATTTCTATTTGTAAACTATGATAGGCCAGGTATTTGGATCAACCTTCCCACTGAGAACTACTAAAAATTCTGAGGAGATAAAAAGACATTTTCTTAAAGGCATCAAGGTGCTAACAAGACAGTGGGGGGACAATTAGATCTCATCTCGGGGAAAGTAGGAACCAGAGGAGTGAGCTGAGCATGACAGTTACTCTCTCCCTGAAAGTATTTACCTAAATCCAGCAAACCTGAGCGTCTCTTTAGAAGCCCCAGGTTGGCCTGAGGTTCAGAGTCTACTGGGGGTACTTACGTGCAGTGCAAGTCCAGCCCCTCAAAAGTGAGCCTACCTCCGTGTCTTAGTCATCTACTGCTGCTCTAACAGAGATACCACAAGTGGATGGTTTTAACAAAGAGAAATTTATTCTCTTCACAGTCCAGTAGGCTACAAGTCCGAATTCAGGGCATCAGCTCCAGGAATAGGCTCTCTCTCTCTCTATTGGCTCTGGAGGAAGGTCCCTGTCATCAGTCTTTCCTTGGTCTCAGAGCATCTCAGCACAGGAACCTCAGGTCCAAAGGACGTGCTCTGCTCCCGGCACTGCTTTCTTGGTGGTATGAGGTTCCCATGTGTCTCTGCTCGCTTCTGTCTTTTATTATCGCAAAAGAGATTGGATTAAAACACTAATCTTGTAGACGTCATCAGTATAACGTCATCATAGTGATAGAGTTTACAACACATAAGGAGATCACATATAACCTCATCATGGTGATAGGGTTTACAACACAAAAGGAAATCACATCAGATTACACAATCTTACAATACTGGGAATCATGACCCAGTCAACCCGACAGACATTTTTGGGGGACACAATTCAATCCATGACACTCCAGGATCAGGTGTCCCTGAGAAGTCATCATAAGACAGCCCTCGCATGGGTGTACAGCCCAAATTCACATCAGTGCAGAGGTACCCAAAACGCACAAGTGGTAAATTTAGTTTAAAGTGGCTCTAGGCTGACAGTGTCCTGAGACGCCTGGCAGAAGCTAGCACAAATCCAGTTTGGAGGATGGTACCTTCATCCCAGATGTGAAAAATCCTACAAGTAATTTTTCAAGGACAATGAGCAACTCAGTCAAAAATAACCAAGCACTCAGGGAAACAAGGCACCACGAACAGAAACAGGCAGAGACAAGCATCAGGAACTTACCCACAAAGACTCAATGTTTTAATTATCAGACACAGACTACGGAACTCCTCTACTTACTATGTTTAAAGAAATAAACAAGCTTGAGAATATACGTAGGGGATAAAAAGCAAAAAACCAACCCCACTACTGCTGATGCGATTCCAACTCATAGTGACCCTACAGGACAGAGCAGCACTGCTCCATAGGGTTTCCAAGGCTGTAAATCTTTACAGCTTTCTCCCATGGAGCCGTTGGTAGGTTCGAATTGCTGACCTTTTGGTTAGCAGCCAAGCACTTTAACCACTGTGCCACCAGGGGTCCTCATGTAGGGGATAGCAAACTCTAAAAAGTGACCTTGTAGATTTGGGGAGAAATACAAACAGAACTTGTAAGACATAAACAGCATTAAACTCAATGGATTTAACTGCAAACTGGACACAGAAGAGAAGAGAATTAAACGGGAAGATAGGTCAGAATGAATTATTCTGAATAAGGCAAAAAGAGAGAGAGAGAGAAAAGTGAAAATATAAATATTAAACTAAGAGATCTGAAGGAAGGAGTGAGAAGATGTTTGGATTTACAGAAGAAGTGAAAGGAAATTGGGACAGAGGCACTATTTGAAGAGATAATGATTGAGGATTTTGCAGAATTGATGAAAGACAATCCACAGATTTAAGAAGCCAAAAATCCCAAGAAAGGTAAATAAAAATAAAGCCACATCTAGATATGTCATAATGAAACTTCAGAACAAAAAAAAAAGAAAGAAGGTATAAAGATTATAAGGGAAAAAAGTCATTATTTATAAATGTTTACATACATAGAAGAATCCAAACAAATTTACAGATATATCAGAATCAGTAAGAAAAAATTAATGTACAAACTCAATTCCATTTCTCTTTATCAGCATGTAGGTGAAAAAATAAAGATACCATTTACAACAGTGTAAGAATACAAAGTATCTAAGAATAAATTCAAAGATATGCAAAACCTTTACAGAGATATTATAAAACTTTGAGGGACATTAAGGAAAACCTAAATAAATGGAGCAATATGCCACAATCAAGACTGGAAGATATTAAAAAGATACGAATTCTCTCCAAATTTTTTAATTAAATGCAAGCAGGTTGTATGTGTGTGTGTGTGTGTGTGTGTGTGTGTGTGTATGTATACGCATACACATGAGTGAGCACGAGGGACTTGATTCTAAAACTTATACTAGATATGTCAAAAGGCCAAAGCCAGTCAAAACGATTTTTTTTCCTTCAAATACTCTTGAAGAGCAAGATGAGAGAGCCTGCTCTGCCAGAGAGCAAGTGTTTTCATTTCACATTAGAGTCATCGAGACAGTGTAGAACTGGCAAAGGGCCATAAAACAGGTCAATGCAATGAAAGAGTCCAGAAACACACCTATTAGTAGAGGCGCACCTGCTATAACAGCTCACTGGGAAAGAGTAGATTTTCCCCCAAAATGGTGCTGGACAACTTGGGTATCTGTAGGAAAAGAAAATGAAGCTGGATCCAATTTCATATCATAAACAAAAATTAATAGCTGGGTACAATTCCCAACAGAGACGAGCATTCTAGCAATGATTTGGTGGAGAAAATTTCAGCACACCTATCTTCTAAAATGAAACCTGTCTTAGTTATCTAGTGCTGCTGTAACAGAAACAGCATAAGTGAATGGCTTTAACAAATTTATTCTCTCACAGTTTAGGAGGTTAAAAGTCCAAATTCAGGGCACTAGCTCTAGGGAAAGGCTTTCTGTCTCTCTCTGTCAGCTCTGGGGGAAGGTCTTTGTCATCAATCTTCCCTTGTGTCTAGGAGTTTCTCAGCACAGGGACCCCAGGTCCAAGGGATGCACTCCACTCCGTGCTTCTTTCTTTGTGGTATGAGATCCCTCTCCTTTCTGCTCGATTTTCTCTTTTATATCTCAAAAGAGATTAACTCAAGATGCAACCTAATCTTGTAGATTGAGTCCTGCCTCATGAACATAACTGCCTCTAATCCTGCCTCCTTAACATCAGAGGTCAGGATTTACAGCACATAGAATAATCACATCAGATCACAAAATGATGGACAACCACACCATACTGGGAATCATGGCCTAGCCAAGTTGACACACATTTTGGGGGGACATAATTCAATCCATGACAAAACCCGTTTCTTTTCCCCAATATACTGTCGTCATAACCAAGTGTTAAGGTATTTATGAAGAAGTCTGATTATATTAGACATTCTCAATTAGTGATCCTCCAAACCTTAAGCCCTCCTTCCCACTAGCTGCTACTAAGTCATGCTGGGTCAATTCTGATTTCCCCTGGGATTTTTAGAATCAAGTACAAGACCTCACGTTTAACCCCAAGATATTACATTTTATTAGATTATATCTGACCTACTGGGCCCTTTATGAATTTGAATCACAGCATCTTCCCATCTTTGATGAACAGACTGACATGCCCCACTGAGGTCACCATGACAAGTGTCAACTAGGTCCCCACCAGCCTGCATCAGCTCTCCCAGTCACAATCCCGGCTCTACCCCCTCCCCTATGTTTCCCACATAATACCCAAAAGAACATCACAAGAGAGCTTGTCAACAGCTTCTTCAAATCCATACATATTCTGCTAATTGGTAATGACCATTAAAAAGCAATGACTTTGACATGACTCCTTACTGATCTCATGCTGAATCTATTTTAATACCTTCAAGTTTTTCTCTTTTTATTCAGACAAGACTTAAATTAGTAAACTTCTGTTTTATTTCTTCTCTCTGTTCCCTGGACTTCCCTCCGACAAAGGCACTAAAAGTACAAGACAGAAAGGATCTTAGGTTATTCACAAGCTGGTTGTGTGGGTCTTTAGAGTTAGTAGAGTCCCCTTTGTAGCAGAAACACTGCTGGAAATGACCTCAATAGAGAACTACAGAACTGCCTTCCACGCTCATCCATAGCTCTTAAACAAGAGACATCACTTGTATTCATAACTATAATATGGGAAAGAGTAACACCCCCTATTTATAACTTAGTTACCATCTAATGGGACAGCACAGAAAAGGTTTGAACTTGCCAAGAGTTTTCTGTTTGGGTTTTTTACCCCCTAATTGCTGATTTTTCAGAAGTAGATCATCAGGCCTTTCTTCCGAGACACCTCTAGGCAGACTCAAACCGCAAACCTTTCAGTTAGCAGCTGAATGTGTTAACTATTTGCACTACCCAGGGACTCCTTTTCTACTTATTTTGAATTTCTAAACGCCATGAATGTCTGTCATTACACTGGTTAGCTGCAGTATCTTTTGGACAAAAACCTTAGCTTTCAGGGCAGGCTGAAGTCAAAACTCAGTCAGAGAACTGGGTCAAGCCCTTGGAGGCAGGTCCCTTGCAGCAGCACTAGTACACTTAGTCTGCTTCCGTAGAGATTTACAGCCTTGGAAACTCTATGTGGTCACATGAGTCAGAATCAACTCGATGGCAGAGGGTTTGGAATTATTTTAACAAAACGTGAATCAGGCCCATGTCATATGTTGCAGTTACCCTACTTCTTTTTTAAATTTTTTTTTATTGTGTTTTAGGTGAAAGTTTACAGAGCAAACTCGCGAAACAGGTGAGCACTTCTACTTTGGTAGAGGGGAGAGGAAACTGTGATGGGGAGAAGTTACAAAGTCTTATGGGGATTTATTGTTAAGATGGTAAAAGGTACACGAATGTCCATTTCATTGATCCTTACTCCTTATCTATAAATATTATTTTGTAATTATGGTATCCGAGGGCCATACACTGGCATCTCCAGCTCTGGCCCCTCCTCAAGGGGGTCCTGTGCAGAGCAGCAGCCAGACCAGGACCTGCGGCCACTGGAACCCGCTGTGTATGCTGTGCTATGGTTTAACTAGACTTTTTGTGTGTGTATGTGTGCTTTAGGTGAACTTTCACAGAGCAAAACTTTTACAGAGCAAATTAGTTTCTCGTTCAAAAATTTATACACAAACTGTTTCGTGACGTTGCTTGCAATCCCCACAATGCGTCATCCTTTTCCCCCTTTCCACCCCAGGTTCCCCGTTTCCATTCGTCCAGTTTTCCTGTTCCTTCCTGCCTTCTCGTCTTTGCTTTCGGACAGGTGTTGCCCATTTAGTCTCGTATACTTGATTGATCTAAGAAGCACATTCCTCCCGTGTTATTGTTTTATAGGCCTGTCTCATCTTTGACTGAAAGGTGAACTTTTGGGAGTGGCTTCAGCTCTGAGTTAGCAGGGTGTCCGGGGGCCATAGTCTTAGGGGTCTAACTAGACTTTTTGACTAGACATCCAGTCACATCAGGGAAATTATGGCCAAGTTTTCAAACAACCAACTTACCACGGGCTTTTACAAAACTGGCAAGTTGGGCACCATCTTGAACTGAGAGGAAAATGCTCTGCCTTCACCAGGTGACTCAGGTCTGCCTGTGGGACAATGTGCCCTCTAGTTTGGAGGGCACCTACCATTCTCTCAAAGAGATATAGGCATGGGTTTTTTTTTTTTTTTTTTTAAGCAAAAACCAAGTTTCTGGATCCTAGAAGTTTCTCTCCTAAAGTAAGCATGTATAATTATTTTAAGGAGCCCTGGTGGTGCAGTGGTTAAAGCTACTGACTGCTAATTGAAAGGCTGGCTGTTCAAAACCACCAGCTGCTCCACAGGATAAAGATGTGGCAGTCTGTTTCCGCAGAGATTTACAGCCTTGGAAACTCTGTGGTCACATGAGTCAGAATCAACTCAATGGCAGAGGGTTTGGAATTATTTTAAGAGAATGTGAATCAGGCCCATGTCCATATGTTGCAGTTACCCTACTTCTTCTTTTTTTAATTTTTTAAATTGTGTTTTAGGTGAAAGTTTGCAGAGCAAATTAGTTTCCCATTTGATAGTTTGTACATAAAGTGTTCCATGACATTGGCTGAATTCCCCTCAATGTGTCAGCACTCTCCCCATTTCCACCCTGGGTTTGTTACCCATTTCCTTTTGTCTGGATTTTCTATCTCTTCCTGTCTTCTCATCTTTGCATTTGGGCATTCCTTCCTCTTGCGTGTTACTGTCTATTTTATGGGCCTGTTTACTGTTTGGCTAAAAGGTAGTCTCCACAAATGGCTTCAGTTCCAGGTCAGAAAGGTGTCTTAGGGCCATAGTCTTGGGGGTTCCTCTAGTCTCTGTCAGTAAGTTTGGTCTTTTTTGTGAATTTGATTTTTTGTTCTACGTTTTTCTCCCGCTCTGTCCGGAACCCTCTGTTGTGATCGCAGTCAGAGCGGTAGGTAGTGGTAGCCAGGCACCATCTAGTTCTTCTGGTCTCTGGGTCATGCAGGCTGAGGTTCATGTGGTCCGTCAGTCCTTCAGACTAACTGCTTCCTTGAGTCTTTAGTTTTCTTCTCTCCTTTGCTCTGCACGAGAAGAGACCAATAGTTGTATCTTAGATGGCTGCTCAAAAGCTTTTAAGTCCTCAGACACTACTCACCCAAGTAGGATGCAGAACATTGTCTTTATGAACTATGTTGTGCCAACTGATGCAGATGTTCCTCGGGTCTATGGTCCTCTGCCTTCAAGCCTAGGAACTTTGTCCTGCGAGGTGTTTGGTTACGTCTAACAAGTTTCCATGACTGTGCTCCTTGGGTACTCTATCGTCTATATTAATATACATGCAGCACCTACAATTATGTATGTAGAAATATCCACAACCAAACCTATATCTGCAGGTAAGTGTGCTCCCTTACACCCTCCCACATCTGTTTAGCATACCTATTTACCTATGTATCCATTCGCAGATTATCTTTTGTTAATATTATTGCTGCAGGATTGTCTATGTCACAGTAATTACTGTGGTTGCACTTTATTCTTGCATTCCTCAGTGTCTTCCTTTGCCTTAGTCATGTGCTGACTAACCCCTACTGTATATTGCCTTTCCCTTCACCAATATTGTCTTCCGTTTAGTAGTTTTCCCTCCCACCCCCTCCCATCCCATCCCTGGTAACCATCATATAATGTTTTTTTTTTACTGTGTGTAAACTTTTCCTTGTTTTTTTTTTTTATAATGGTGTCTCATACAATATTTGTCCTTTTGTGGTTGAGTTATTTCGCTTAGCAGAATGTCCTCCAAATTCATCTATGTTGTGAGATGTTTCGTGGATTTGTCATTATTCTTTATCATTGTGTAGTATTCCATTGCATGTGTGTCCCAGTTTGTTTATCCATTCAGCCGTTGATGGGCACCTCTGGGAGGTGGGCCTGCCCCAGCTGCTCAGGGTTGAGCTCAGGTCCAGACCTGGCACCGTGTCAGGCCTCTTCCCTTATTTGCTTGTAGTTTTTATAACAAAGCAAATACTAAACAAAAATTCAAATTTAAATCCTATTAAAATTTTTCCCCTTAATTTTGGACAAATAAGTAAAAGGTACAAAAATATTGTTATGGATTGAACTGTATCCTCCAAAAAAGATATGTTCAAGTCCTAACCTAGGTAACTGTG